GACCCGTGAAAGTTGGTGCACTCCTAATGACCAAAACTTACCCATAGACGTAACCTACAATGACTTCAGCAAAGCTTTTAACAAGGTTCCTTACAACCGGCTGTTATATATGTTAAGAAATGTGGGGGTTGTAGGCGATTTCTTAGTTGGGCGCCAACAAAAGTACGGGTGAACTCCAAATTTTCCAGTTGGAAAACTGCACTTAGCGGAGTGCCTCAAGATACTGTTTTGGAACCAGTGTTATTCGCCTTGTATGTAAATGACCTTCCTCCTCTCGTATCATAATCGGTCTTGCTATATGCTGACGATCTCAAGAGAAGGAGAGCGATAACAAGTAGAGATGATAGCTTAGAGCTTCAAAGTCACCTTGAGAAATTATCTGTCCCGAACTCAGCAGTTTCAGACAAAGACTTCCAAGCATAATGTCATGCATATTATTCAGCAAAGTGAAAATACATGGGCGATGGATAACATTGAGCTGCCTGTTGTCCTGACACACAATGATTTAATAGTCATCGTTAGCCAAGACCTAAAAACTAATAAACACTGCCGTGCGGAAGCCTCCAAGGGTTTTAGAACCCTATGGTCAACATGTATGACTTTGTATACAGTATTCGTGCTCCCTAAACTCAAATACTGCATAAAAGTGGCTAGACACTGACTAAAAAGAAACTTTGAGCTTTTGGAAAAGGTCTAAAGAACCGCAAGTAAACTGATTCCAGAAATAGCAAGTCTCCCACATTAAGCTCGACTGGCTAAAATAAACCTATTTTCATTGTCCTATGGAAGAACCAGAGGTGACTTGTTCACAATTTTCAAAGTACTCACTGATAAATTAGCATCTGATACTTCCTCGTTTTTCTTGACTTTCAAACCAGAAAATCTACGAGGACACCCTAAAAAAGTTCACGAACTCATGACAAATTTCTTGTCAGCTGACTTTCGACTTTCCTATCTAACCATCAACGTGTAGAATTCAATATCTCAACACGTAATCGGAGCTCCATCTGTCGCTCTACGAGGACACTCAAAAAAGTTCATAGACTCAGCAGAATCCCGCTTTCGAGGAAATAGAGAGAGCTATCATGAGCCCAGCTCCGGATATGAATGAGACCATAAAGGTGGACCCCATCAGGGAACAGACAACAATCATAAGTATGTAGGTATTCTCACAAAGAAAAAGAAAAAGCACACAGAGAAGAAGCTACTTATAGACAGTACTAGAGTATGTGAATCTACGGTTTCAGTTCCGGATTCACACATGAACGCAAAAAAACTATGGGCGAGCCATATCTGAGCGGTGTAAAGGATATGATCAATAGACAAATTAAGGTAAATGAGTGGCTCACGGTGGCATCTCGGAAAAAAAAGTTTGAAAACAGACTATGACCTTTGTGTTTGACGCTAAATTGGAATCGGATTGCAAGGAAGAGACGACTTCAGGCACTGCAATTCCATAGTGTGTTAAGATGGACATCGCTGAGAGGTTAGTCATTTCTCATAAGCTAAGAGAATCTTCCGGAGAGGAATCAAAGGCTAGACTTGAGCACGGCCTCAGTCACATTAAGCCCTTAATAAGCAGGCTACACCCAGAAACAGTTTCAGGAGTCAGTATTTGCAAGCTTTATAGAATAGGACAAAAGGTGGATTATGAAAGTACCCAGAAAAGCTGCCTCCTGAAGGTTAGGTTTGCTATATTTGAAGAAAGAAGCCTGATTCTGGAAAGCTCACGCAAACTGATTTGATCCGGAATATACGTCCGTGAAGATCTCAGCCTGGTCGACCGTATTAAGAGACGATAGGCAGAAGTAGAAATAAATGAGCGCCGCCGAAACTATGAAAAAGCACCCGTACTTAAGTTTTTTCAAATTGTAAAAGTTTGGAGTAAAACGAGCTCGAAACCACTCCGGGTGGTAAGGGAATATGCTCCACAAAATTAAAGGCGTGCCAAACAAATGCTCACAGCCTAAAAATTAAAATGGCGGATAAAGGAAAACCGCATGTTAATGCTGTTTCAGAAACATGGTTAGCATCAGGAGTATTAGATAATGAAATTCAGCTGACTGGTTTTTTATCCAGTAGGGCTGATATATTAAAGCGTAGGGGGGCGGTGTTATCTTGCACACACATATTACCCTAACCTTACGAGCAGTTGAAACAGTGGCAAACGATTCAGGGACATATGAACTGGTGTGATGCAAGCTGAAATGTAGACGGCAAGATATTGAATTAGTTGTAGTAGATGATTTTTTTTAAGTACACTTAAGTCCTAGTGTAATAGGAGTAAAAGCCTCATGGTAGGTGACTTTAATGCACCGTATATAAACTAAGTTAATTTAGAAGGTCATCGAAAACACCATTCGATTGCAAACTGTTATAAACCTCAACTGCACTAGCTTTATTCCAACACATTAGAGGTCCCACCAGATATGATTTTCGAATCTCTTTTTCCCCCTTGGATTTAGTCTTCATAAACGGTGATGACATCGGTCAAATGACTTTCCTCCCACTTCTAGAGAGAAACGATCATGTATTCATCTTATTCAAATTCACGGCTGAGATTGCCTGTCAAACAGTTGCGCCGGCTCGTCCTAACCTATAGAAGGCAGACATGAAGGCAATCAACTCCGCAGCATCAGCTGAAAACTGGGTAATTACTCAAAGTCTTCAGTACAGGACGTATGTACTTATTTCTGGTAATTGTACAATCGGGCCATACAATCAACCATACATACTCTTGTCAGTTCCAAACAAGAAGAATAGTCATCCCTGGATAGACCGGGACATTCGACGTTTAATAAGACAAAAGAAGAAATGTTGGAATGTCGCCATTAGCCTCGGCACAGCAAGTACAATGGAACGCTACAGGTTGGTAAGAAACACATGTATAATTAAAATCTGTGAAGCTCAGAGAAAATATGAAATGCAGTTGGTACAATCCTCACTCAAGCAGCCTAAGACAATATTCTCGTACATTAATTACAGAACAAAAACGCCCCATCGGATTCCGAACGTAATTAAATAAGGGAGTGGATCTGAAATGGTAGAGGAAGGTAAGGAAAGAGCTGAGACTATGGCTATTTCGGGGCAGTTTTCACTCAGGAAACCTCCTCTAGACAAAGAATTAGACACAAATACAAAGTAAAAAACCGCCTACTCACCGTAAACTTTGATCGAAACGATATGCGTAAGGCTCTTAGCACTTTAAACATGGAAAAGTCAACAGGACCGGATGAACTACACCCCAAAATCCTAAGTTATATTGCATAATATATTGCAGCCCCACTGACTGTGATATTCAATATGTCACTTGACCAAGATGTGTTACATATGGACTGGAAGGATGCAATCGTCACTCCTATACGTAAAGCAGGACCAAAACAACTTCCATCGAACTACAGACCTGTCAGCCTCACCAGTGATGTAGTTAAAATATCGGAAAGAATAGTCAAAAGATCATAATATCATTGAAAAAACCCAACAAACTGTTAAACAGCAAACAACATGGTTTCAGAAAGGGTTAATCTTGCACAACAAACCTTATAGCAAGGGAGCATTAGATAAAGGTGCTAGAAAATAGGAACTCAGTGTATAACGTTTACATAAACTTAAGTAAGGCATTTGACAAGTGCCAACAAATAGACTGCCATTGAAGTTAGAAAATCTTGGTGTTGCCGGACCTCTCTTAAAATGACTTAAGAATTTTCTAGTAGGTCGTTGACAGAAAGTAAGAACGAATTCAAAGTGCTCCACACGGAGACCAGTAGTTAGTGGAATACCTCAAGTTTCTGTCCTAGGTCTTTTACATTTTATACTTTATGTAAATGATCTCCTAAGTAAAGTAGTCTCCAATATTATAATAAACTGATGATATAAGGTCTGCCGAGTAATAATGAGAGACGCGGATGCATGCGCACTTCAGGCGGACTTAAATAATGTGATTAACTGGTCTAAAGAGTAGCTGATGCCTATCGACGCGGCAAAATGTGTTTCATGCACTTTGGGGATACAAAGCTTAATAGGTACAGAATGGGGTAAGTGTCTGTACCCAATTTCCGGCCTCATAAAGATCTTGGGCTGGCAATGAACAATAATTTTAAGACTACAGCCCATTGCCGGGAGGTTGCAGCTGAGGGGTTTAGAACCATATGGGTTTTATAATGGACATTCACTAATTTAGATACTACCTAGTGAGAACTTAGCTTGAAAACTACGTTCAGGCTGCAAGCCTTTGTTTAAAAGGTGACTCGGATATCCTGGAAAAAGTAAAGAGGGAAGGTACCCGTGCAATTCCAGAACTCTGTGGTTTACCATACAAATAGCGGCTTGAAAAGCTAGACCTCTTTACTCTGTCCTGTTGCAGACCAGGAGGTGATCTAATTTTGATGTATAAGATACTAAGAAGTGATTTTTGACCTAATATGTTCTCTCCTTTTTCCCCACTAGATCGGGACATCTCAGAGGTTATAGCAGGCTAGTAGAAAAGCCAAGAACGAAAAAATACCCGTGTCATACAGGTTTTCACACCGATTCATCAATTCCTGAAACCTGTTATACGAAGCAGTGATGTCCACATATTCAATTGACTCATTCAAGAGAAGACTGTACACTCATAAAAGCATACTAGAAAAGGAATTACATAGGCTGTAGGCCTGAATCTGAAATCAAATTACTTGTAAGCTGACTATCGACTTTCCCATCGAATCATCAAAGAATGAAATTTACTAACTCATCAAGTAACTGGAGCTCTATCTGTCGACATTAAAAAAAAAGTCGGACCAACTGAGAGACAACCATTGCCATGAATAACATAGATCAACTAGCCTCCGTCCTTTCTAATCTGAGATCGATGTGAATTTGAATCCTGATGAACCCAAGTCTGAATTTCAAATAATCGAAAGTCAGTTTTCGATTGATTGTATTTGTAAATGTACTTAAAATTTAGAATATCTGAATAGGGTCAACTGAAATGTAGAAGTATTGTTTAATCGAGACACTTTGCCGGTTGTACATCAAGTCCGCAATTCAAATTTGCTTTCCGTGTGGTCTTTGTTATCTCGTATTTGTATACAGGTGTTGACTGGCCAAGAATTGCAAGTTCACCAAGTTTCTACTGCATAGTATTCTTTTTCAATATTTGTAACTAGCTTTTATATGGTGATTTGCACTTCTCACTGTTTCTGGGCTTGGCGGAACGTATAACCTTAGTCTTCCGATCTAGGGGAAAGTTTTGTCGGTTCTGGAGAAATATTGAGGGAGCCTCGATAGATATTTTTTAGACTCTATGGAACTCCCGAAATTTCTACTGGTTTTAAGATTTTCCTTCAAATTTAATGCCATTTTGAAAAAATCCCCAAAATGTTTAGTGAGATTTAGGGTTTTTCTCAATATTCCTCCAGACTTTTGGGAATGTACGAATTTCCTCATAACTTTGGTAAAAACTCAAGAATTCCTCAAAACTCCAAAACCTGGAGATCGGAGCTACTGATTCTTGGTGACCAGTTTTCACACTAAGTAAACAACAAACTTATATTTAATGATAATCTGGCTGATTTGCCGTGAGTTTATTCGGTTCTTGGTAATATGAAGTATTTTTCTCGTGATTTTAAGGCTCCAATCTAGTCAGGCTCCGTATATGGAGACCGTCAGACGCCTTCCACTTTTGCTCTTTTAGACTTATGACTTTAGAGTTCAGACATATCACCTTGTGTTTCAAACAATCAAGAAATATCCTGGTTTCTGTTCACGCCCTAAAAAACAAAACTTGTTTTACTTCCCGTATATATCCATATATATGTTTACAAAATCAATCAGGACTTAATTTACATATATTTGTATGTACTTCTGCTAATTAATAATCGGGATTTATTAGGAACAGCGTATCTCTGATCTCATTATGCGCCACACTCTTTCAAGTGCATTTCATCCTGGTAGCAAGATTGCTTACATATTAACCGATTTATTAGAAAATACCGCGAAAGTTTGATTTTTGTCGCAATAGGTCCTTCCATGTTCACTTTGAATTGGATATGTACAACTTAATTTTGTCTTGTCGTTACTGAGGGGGGTAATGGTGAGAATGCTGAAAATAACTTGACTAACAGAACATTCAGCATATTGCACCTTGATTAGTTGTAGGGTCACTGAGGCTTACTTCTTTTAGTACAGTACGGGCTAGAATTTTAGAAAGTTATGAAGTGTCAGCTAATGTTAAGGAGTATTTATATATGTGTAAATCATGCACATGATTTCAGTCTTCAGTAATAAGGATTTTATCTATTATTTGAACACATTAGTCCAAAGAGGCATCGAATACATATGCGCAACACAAGTCACTTGATTTGTGCATGAGCTGTAATGCTGCCTGGGCGCCTAAACCGAAGCAAGTAGTCTTCCTACGGGGACCCACCCTGTATTTTCAGGAATTGATCTCCTACCAGGAGGCCCACTTGTCGACTTAGAATACGCAGGTAATATCGTCCTGTTTGGTGAAGACGCTGATAAAATGCAGTCTTTTGGTAGCACTGATCAGCAATGCCAGAATGTTTGGGATGCGTTTCCCCCCCTCTAAATACAAGTTGTTGCTTCAGGACTGGTCTGCGTCAACATCTGAACTGAAGATAGGGAGTGAAATAGTCGAGCGCGCTGGCAACTTCACTTATATTGGAAGTCTGATCAGCCCTAATGGGTTGGTGTCTGACGAAACCTCTGCAAGATTTCGAAAAGCTCGTTTGACTTTCGTCAACTTACGTCACCTATGGCGAAGGCGGGATGTCCGTCTATCAATAAAAGGACGAGTATACTGCGCGGCAGTTCGTTCTGTTTTACTTTACGGCTGCAAAACACGGCCATTAAGAGCAGAAGACACTCGTAAGCTACTAGTATTTGACCACAGATGCCTTAGAAATATTGCTGGGATCACCGGGTAAGTAATAGTGAGGTTAGACGCAGGAAATGATGGTAAATCAGTTGATGACGTTGTGAATTTTCATCGACTGAGATGGTTGGGTCACGTGTTACGTATGCCTGAACACCGATTACCACGTCGTGCAATGCTAACCGGTGTTGGGGATGGTTGACGATTAGGGGCGGTCAAAACAAAACGTGGCATCAATGCTTAAAGACACTAACCTCTAGTCTGAGCCATGTTGGTAGATGCAGACTACTTGGTTGGGGTCCGCGTGACTATCATAACCAATGGTTGGAGACTCGTGGAGACATGGCTCAGAATCGGTCACAATGACGTAGGTGTATACACTTTCTGTCTTCCCTTAAACTAAGAGATTAACATCGCTTCATATCTTTCTTTCTGTACTATGTCCTTATATGCAATCTTTTATAAATTACCACCACTGAATTAACTACTATGAATCCGGTGTTCATCTTGTGCTAATGAGGTATGGCAACTTGGACTGATGCATATATGTTCCTGGTCCTACGTCGCAGCTGACTGACCACAGTCTGAGCCTTCGACCTAAATGTCTGATCCACAAGGCAGTCGAGCAACGTAAGGAGATGCAGTCCCATGGTAGCCGGTGACCAACAGTTGGTTCATACGTCACTTTTTCCTTCAGGATCCTGGAGTCCATGTGCACCATCGGTTGAGAATCAAGGTTTCCCAACTCCCCTAGGTCAACCCTCTGTGTCCACCAACCCCGTTAAAACGCCGGAACCTCGCTTTTCGTCTTCTCAATTTCTTAAACAACACTCCTGCCACGAGGAAGCAGTGAGTAGGGCTTCCTTGATAGTGGTTGTATGCACGTGGCGATGTGAGAGTGTTTTGTGAGGAAGAGCTGACTCTCTCCACCCTCGGTTGTACCAGAGCATTTAAGGGCAATAAGGATAGGTCTATCGACCTATATTAGTCCTTGCAGTTTGTAGCACTGTGGAGGTTTAATTTCATCTTGAATATATCAACACGTGTTGATATTACATGTTCCCGTAAAAAATTCCAGTAATTCACTACTCGGTACGAGAAACAAAGCTCCAGACGCAGACGGTTTGATCTCAGTTTTTGAATTTTTTCCGGTTGTCTTCGCAAATGATCAGTCCTAGACGGAAGGGAAAGATAAGAAATATTAATTTCAAGGTCATCGTTCAGTATACGATAAGCCAGCATCAGATCACCCAGTATTCTACGGTAAGATAACGAAAATATGTTGAGGTGTGTCAGTCTTTCAGACCTTAAATGACATAACTCAAAATCGTTTGCAACGACGCAGGTGCATCCATTCTTTGTGTTCTCCCAAATTCTAATCTTCTGAATTCTTCGTCTCCTTTTTTCTCTTTCCAAATTTATTTCACTGGATTATATTCTTTGAATAACATCTTCAAACCCTAATCTTTCCGATTACTGCTTATACTTTTACTACCTCTATCACTATGAGATTTGAATCGACAATTGTATCTGTTTGTTAATGTGGTATGGCAACTCGAACTGATGTACGTACGTACGAAGTTCTACGTTTTTACTGACTGACTGAGACTATCTTCATAAGATAGGCCAACGAGACCTTTTACCATTTTATTCCCTCATCCTTGGACTCGTTCATGCATATCAGCTTCATACTTGAAACAAAGACTCGCTACTTAAACTCCATACGAATCCCATACCAATGAGTTGAGATCATCCTGTAATATTATTCTGCTACTATAAGCATGATAGGCCTTTACGAAAACCATGTTGTTCTCTGAATAAAAGATTATGTCCTTCCATATAATCTATAACAGCTTTAATTTTGACAACTTCACTGGTTAGACTAACGGGTCGGTAGTTACGGGTTGGTAGTTACTACTCCTCGCCTTATACACCGGACTAATTATTGCGTCCTTCCAGTATCTTGGCAGTCTGTACTGCCACAGGGACGTATCAAACAGTATGGCTATAGGTCCAGCTATTACATCAGATAAAGATTTCGTAATCCTAGGACGAATATCCTCAGGATCACTGGACTTGTAAGGCTTGAGATGCTGAAGTAATCTTAAAACATACATTTCTCAGTAACCACAGGGTCCATCAACAAGCCGCCACAATCACAATTAATCGTTGGTTGTTTCTCATTGCTGACAGAAAACATTACTGAAATGTTCCAATAACGCTTCAGCTTTGTCGGCGTAATCTCTTGCCAATATTAACGGATTTTCTTGTACTTAAAGTGATGAAATTCCACCACTTCCCTGAGTTCGATTTTTTATGTACGAGAATAACCGTTTCCGACTATTTTTATAATCCCTAACCAATTTTTTATACGACTGTCTAGTCTTATTAACGCTTTACAAGCGTTCTTAGTCTTACAATAACTGGATCTGTAGTGTTCTAAGCCAGCAGAGATGAACATATTCCAGTGCTTTTTCCTACATCCATGAGGTTTCTTGACTTGTTTAGTTATCCATGGTGGACAGTTCTTCGGTCTGCGTGGTAACAAATATAAACGAGAACGTAACTGGACTAAACTTGCTTTTAAATATAGGCCATGATTCTTCAACTGATGAGCTGGTATCTACTGACTAATCTGTTGTTTTAGCAGCGCACTCCTGAATGGCTGATAAGTTAGCTCTCCATATATTTGGGCAAGGCTTAACCTGATCGTGTATCATGTCACTAGCTCTAAACATGAATGACAAAACAGCGTGTTCGCTACTCGCTAACAGTGGAAGAATATTTAAGTTGGCAATATCCTCAGTATATCTTCAGTCGCATGAGTGATCAAGTATAGCAAAGAAGAACCATAGTTTGCACCAAAACGTGTGGGTTTGGATACACACTGTACTAATACATGCTCCATTACCGTTATCAGGAACTTGCTAACAAAGAAGTTTATATATCCTACCGTGGCCATCTCTGTCTAACTAATATCAGGTGCATTAAAGTCTCCTAATACCAAGTATCTGTTATTTGCATTCCATAGCTGAATGTACTCTAAAATAAAGCCATCAGCTAAGCACATTGAGCTGCGATGGATGACACCGAGTATAAATGTACAACATCCGATAGTCAGCTCATAGCTAATGACTCTACAAGTTCTAATATCATGGAATTAGCAAGCAAAAAATCGGATGTTTTTATTATTAGCTATGTATCAAAGGACGCCAC